TTTACGATCAAGGAAAAACTAGGTTGTCGAAGTCACAAGTAGAATTGAAGCGGAAGAACTAAACCAATCACAAACACAAGACTGCGTCCTCAGCATTGTAGTTGGTTTATCTTTCCTCTTTTTTTTTAGACAATCCAACAATCTGGTTTCCGGTAGATCGTAAGTGATGGAGTCATAAGCGAAATTGGAAGAAAATGGAAACGCTCTGATTCTTTTCACTCTGATTTGATTGCGCTTATGACTCTGCTTACGACTCTGATTTTGGATGTTTTCACTGAGTCATAAAGGCTCTTACAACTCCGTTTACGACTCAGACTCTCACTCTGTCCCTTGTGAAAACGAGCCTTTAACATTTGAATACTTCCCCCAGCAGTGAAAAATGTGATCAATGATATGTGAAATTTTAGCTGGAAGATTAGAAACCCCACTCTTACTTGGGATAATGGTACATGTAGATGTATGGCACTTAGCTCAAAAGAAAGGGAGAAATGGATGAAATCAGAAACACACTTGTTGATTTAGAGAAGGAGAAATAGAGAGAGAAAGAGACCATTACAGGGTAGCCCATTTAGAAACCTTAAGCACTGCTATCAATAAAATTGGGGTTGTAATAAAAACTGAAATAATCATAATCAATGATCTTCATTAAGACTTTTCTTGATTGGATCAGCAGGCTTTCCAGAATAGAATAAGACAGCGTCTTCAGCATACATTAGCATACAATTCTAAGTGTTGTATGCTAATGTATGCTGAAGACGCTGTCTTGTGAGCAAGGGTCAGTAAATCATTCACATGAAGCACAATTAAGAGGTCTGAGAATCGATCCATGAGGTACATCAACAAAAGTAGATCTTGCCTCTGAGATGTTGTTGTGATGTCGGGTTGGCGATGTTATTCAAGTATTGCCACTGTCTCCACTGTTTAAGGATCACAGTGTACAAATCAAATGTATCACCAAACGTCATAGAGGATTTGATCAACGCCTGTGCGTCACTTCAAGAACTGAGAGTTACTTGTGAAAGAGACGAAAACTCGAATGAGGCAGATTTTTTTTTCTGCTTAAACGAGAAAGTGTTGAGCGCCATACAAATGAACTACAACTTGAAAAAGGTTTATTTCCTTAATTCAGGAATCAATGAAAAATCCCCAAAACCCAACAACCTGAGTTCTACCTTAAAGATAGTCAGGAAGTTACTCGTACTCCTTAATCCTTTCTCTTTCCATTGGAGCAGCTGCTATAAAAGCCATGGCCGTAGCCAACTGCTTTGTGTTGTTGTTGTTTTAACAAATAGTTACTGGAGTGCCCGTTATTAAAGTCCTTTAGATTTAAAGTGGGTGTTTTACAGAAATTGGTCAGACCCCCGGAAGCTTGCACCTATTGGTGCTTGTCAGGAAATCAGTCAAAATTTATTCTAGATCCACGCCTGTTAAGGATCTTGATCGAGTCGTAAACAGGGTGCATATCATTTCACTATTACAGGGTTCGTACAGGTCATGGAAAACCTGGAAAGTCATGGAATTTAGTAGCCACTCCTTGAAAGTCATGAAAAATTAAAGTTTTGTTTGGTAGATTAGTTACTGCCGATGACAAGGCAAGGACAATGTCAGATAGAGGGAAGTGATTGAACAGCGCAAATGGCATGTATTTTGGTGGACACCAGAGTTTGTGTCTGTTGAACTGATTAAGGTCCAAAAATACCCTGTAACAAGGGAAGTCCTAAAAATTTTTGAAAGTGCCAGCTAAACCTAAGGTCTTGGAAAACTTAAAAAGGTCATGGAAAAAGTCGTGGAAAGTCATGGAATTTGAGGAGCTCAAAAGTGTACGAACGCTGTGTGAATGTCTTCAACATGGTGTCTTTGTGCACTAGTAGCTGCAAAATGACATTAATGAGGGTGTTGAATAAACGGCGTGGCCACAATGAACAGTTTGTCTTACAAAGGATCAGGATTTGGAGGCCGTGGTGGCATAACACCCAACCAAATTCCATTAAAGTGCCCCCCAAAAGGTGTGCTCACCATGTTTGCAAAAGTAGGCACTGTAAATCCTCTATTAGGCCCCCCTCTCAAATAAGCCCCCTCCCTCTAATAAGACCCCCTTTTCAGGGGAAGAAGTTAATAAAGCCCCCCTCCCCTCCCCTAAGTATTCCTCACTAATAAATGATAGACTGTATTAAGGTCTATAAATCAATCACGACTGTTTAACTTCGTGTGGACTGATCCAGGATAGTTTATTTACCAACTGGAAGTTGGGATTTGTTTTTGATCCTTGGCTGCACCTCCAACCTTCTTATTCCTGAGCTTATCCACTTTGTATTCTAACTTTTTATGGAGAACTGATACCATCGCCTTTTCTAAATTAAATAAGCCCCCCGCCCCCGCAACCCTCCTCTCAAATAAGGCCCCGTCTCTATTAAGTAACCCTCAAATGGGTTTGAAATAAATAAGCCTGCCAGGGGGCTTAATAGAGGATTTACAGTAAATGGAAACGGATATTTTTCTATCTTTTGGTCTACTACCTTTTCGTCCCCTTTGCTTTGCTCACCACCCGGGGGGAGGGGGGGCGGGATACTGCCATATATGGGCTATATAAGTATGTGCCGCTGTGAAGGGTATGGTTTTCAAGCAGTTTACTCTAGAATAGGGTATATAAATAAGAACATTTGGGTCTAGAATAGGGTATCATTTTTCAGAAAACTGATCAGATGGTTGAAGATTTTATCGAGACTAGGGAAACAGCTACTCTAGGATAGGGGGATTTGGGGAGTTTACTCTAGTAAAGTATAGTGAACTAGCTCTGGTATAGGTTAAGGGTTCCAGGGTCCCAGTGGCACATCCCCACCCAGAAATTCCTAAAGTACCCCCCTCCCCTACCCCCCGGGGCTCACCAAAAGTGGAGAGCTTGCTAGCAGGCTAGTTCCCATGCACTTCGCAAACCTCCCTTCCACAGGGGAGAGTTCTCTCTAGGTGGGGAGATGCAAGACTTTGGGGATGGGATTGATAATGACCAGGCCTTGACCCACCACAGTGGCCAGCCAAGTATGTGTATTTACCCCTATATTATTATACATTGTGTTCATTATGTCTCTTCTCATTGGCTACACGCCTACAGTTAACTATTTAGAAATCAACACAGACTGCTCATAGTTATCTGCTAGCAAAAGGTACTTATTATAAAGGTCTGATTCCTCCATTGGTGTCAGACTGAAACTGGTTATAGAGGTGACCACTTAAAGAGCAGGAGACAGTTCTACCACAATTAATTAGAAAGCAAACAATTTCTGGGGGGATACCAACAAAGGGACCACTGTAAAGAGAGTGACAAGCTCATTGGATAGAGTACATGAGAGGAGTTAAAGTATTGTAATGACAATTAAGTCCTTCAAGGCAGGAAAAACATAGATGGGATTGAATTTATTTCATATTTACAAGTATTACATATTGATGTTATTACAGATGACTGACTAAAAATGGAAACAAACTATTCATCGAGAAATTGCACTCCCCACAAGGAAGTGACAATTTACGTTGGAAAATAAGCGTTAAATGAGGTAAGTTTTGTATTTTTATTGATACATTCACAGAAGAGACTATTCCTGTACATAATTACACAGATTCTTTGCAAAAAAAACTTTCTTCTCACAGAAAGGGTTAAACCATTCAACTGAATAAAAGTGACTGAGGAGAACTGGCTTTAAGGATTGAAAGTAATTTTTCAAACTCGACCTATCTGTGGTCTGGAAAGACAGGTTTGTTTCCAAACTTTATGATGGAGTTACTTTGCGTAGGAGAAAAAAACAATAAAACAAAACGAGCATTTCTTAGTTTTGTGAAAACCACTGCGAAAAAACTTTTTAAGCCCCAATATACACATACAAATTCTCCAAACTGATCTCTATAAATTTCCTTAAAGAATGAGTTGAGAGAATTTGGAAAAAGGATCCAAGCATTTTCTCTTAGGTGATCATTTTTATTAATTCTCATATCCTAATTTCTTGATGATGTATGGATATCATTGGGAGAAAATTGAAGTTGGTCACTATTAGGACTTAAAGGTGTGGGTGAAGTTTAGTCTCTTTTCAATCTTTTGTATAACATCATTTGATGATTGCAACCGTCCACAACACCAAGAAACTAACAACAAAACAATGTGAAAAAAGGCAAAATACTTGTGCATCAATATTGATAGATCTCTTCACCTCTTTTAATCTAAGAAACCATGTTCAATTTCTCTCCTTACTGCTGAGTAATAGATGACAGTAAAGAGAATCCACTCTATCAAGTCTAGTGATCCTGGCATTAAAAACAAGAAACTTATTCAAAACTTTTCATTTTGCTGTTCATAACCATAGCCAATCCAAAACATTAGCATTGATACAAAGACATAACAGAGTTGACCATCACCGAGGCAAACTAGAAGTTCAAGCTAGAGATGTTTAAAATCTACAACATTATTGCAGCTATCAACCTAAAGAATGTTCAAGTTTTAAAAAGAACTGAGGAATGTTGGAATCTAGTTGTGAGGTTAAACGGAAAACTGGTTCGACTTTTTCAACCCCAATATCAACAAACAAATTCTCCAGACTGATCTCCATACATTTCCCTTACACATAGTTGAGAGAATTTGTTAAAGATCAAAGAATTTTCCCATTGATGATCATTTCACAAATTCTCATAACCTTTCCTTTTGATTAAGTATTGATATCTTTAGGAGAAAATCGATGTTGGTCACTACTGGTACTTTAAGGGTTGATAGAGACTCCCTGGTAGTAGTTCTGGTCTGCTTCCACCAGCTTCCAACTTGTTCAACATAAATCTCCCCGTTGCAAAACTAACAAAGACGGGATTGGATGCAAAGAACGCAAAATTCCTTCATGTCCCTTGTACATGTACCATCAAGCATGCCAAGATTCTCTTTACAGAAATTAACCACTGTCTTGCTGGGCATGATTTCTATGTCAGACCTGGCACAAATTCATTACTAGAGAGGATATGTGTCTCTTCTACGTGGAGGGAGTTTTCATGACATAATCACTAAGAGATGATATTGGGTCTGCTGAAGAAGTGGGCGTGGTCATTCTGGTCACGGCAGGACTACTACTGCTCCCAGCTGATTCCTTAGGTGAGTTGGTGTTCTGAGAACCCCCTCCCTGTGCAGTGTCCTCATTAGCACCCTGTGCCTGCTGTCCGCAAACATGATGGTGATTTTCCCAGTCTTTGTGTTGACAGAATGGACCACAGTACCGCGCCAAGTTGCAGCCACTACACGTTTCGGTGGCCTTTCGGCCACAATTCCAACAACTCTACGGGAAGAACAATGCATATCCCCATAAGCATCAACATTAATTAATTGATTGGCCAGGCCTTTTAAAACTCTGCACGTAAGAAATGACACTGTCTTCACACATCTTCAGTTTACCCTTATTTCCATGAAAAATAATAATAACAATAACTAACAGTAACAATAATAATGGAGTTACCAGAAATTTTTTAAGATTGCAAGGTCACTGGCATTTTCTCCTCGATACTTGACAAAAATTTCACAGCTCTCTTATACCCACCCTGCCTGGGGTATAAATTTTTTCAGGTTGATCCAGAGGGTAGATGGGCATATTGGAAATCAGTGATCAATGTAGAACTAAGAAAACAATAAAAATGCCCAGAAATGTTGCTCCTACCTCACTAGAGTCACTCTGGTGATTGGACATTGCTAGAGTATCCTCAGTGGCTTGTCTACGGGCTTCCAACACAGCTTTCTCCATCTTGCCATGTGCACTGGCCACAGCTTCATTGGCTTTCTCCTCGGCAGCACGGACGGCTTTCTGCAGTTCCACTACTGCCTGTCTTTTGACATCACTCACTGCTTCTTCTGCACGACGTTTTACTTCGGCTACACGCTCCTCTGTTTGTTGTAATGTTTTTGCCATCAATTCACCTACATGAGGAGAAAATAAACAATGGACAAGTTAGAATAATCTCTCCACTTTGATTAAATCAAAGGGCAGAGAGATCGTCACCAAACTGTGTGACGTAATGTAAAGAGACCTTAAGGTTCTAAAGCAAGGATGATTACCAGAACAAATTTTCTCCATACTAAGTGGTGTGTGCATGAACCAGCGTCACTTTTGCAGAAAAATGCAATAGCCTTGGTCAATCTACTACAAGTTTTAGCGAAAATGTCAAAGTGATGGAAACAAGTTAGCACATGTTACAAGTTTTATCATTCTGCGATCATGAGAGGGCTTAACCTTTTTTAACCTCCTTTAAAATAATGTGTTAAATTTGCTTGTGAAAGAGGTAAAATGAAGTTTTTTGGGGTGTCATAGTCCTCTTCGTTCTCAAATCTAAAGGTCTCTTTTATATTATTGTCACTGACGAGAGGACAACAGTATGTGTCCTCTTAACATAATAAATAAAAAGTAACCAAAAGCAGAGCTATTTACTACTATTTATACATAGATCAGCAACAAACCTGCTCTTCTTTTCACTTCTGCTTCTGTCTCCTCGGCTGTTTTTCGTGCCCAGGCCTTCTCGAGAAGAGCCAGGACTAATGTTGCACAAACTTCTTGACTATGTCGGGCAAACCAGAACAGTTGGTATGGTTATTATGTAACTTCGTAGACTTTACTGTACAGAAAATTAATAGAAGTCATCAAATGGAGAAGCCTCTAAGGAACCTTCCAAGAGTAATGGCTTTGGCAACTTCAAAAATTGGAGGATAAGTTTAAAAGCAGAAAACAGAGTAACAGATGGATGTTAATGCATTTCAATCATACTAGAGAACTATTAATTATAAAGAACTGGTGTCACTATTTTTTATATTAATTGTAAGTGACATCCTTTGCGATTAAAGTACCGCTCTTTACAGGGTGCAAAGAAAGTCATTTTTACAGCTTACCATTCGGATAAGCTGAAGCTAGCATGTACTAGCCCACACGTCATTTCAACTAGCCCCAAAATTTTTTGATGAGCACAAGTGATTTCACAGTTCTTCTGTACATTGAATTCCTCAAAATACTTCACTTGCCCGTCGGGCAAGTTAAGAACAGAATTCGCTAGCCCGATAGCAACATCCACTAGCCCCGGGCTATCGGACACTACTTTCTTTGTACGCTGGCTCTTTACGATACAAAGCCTGCCTTTTGTAGTTATTAACATGGTAAATGTCCCTTCAAAAAAAATAAAAACAGTACAAAAAATAGAGACATCTGTTAAAGGTGCATGTAGGAGATGATCATGCATCTGTACTAGAAACCGATGAAAAGAAAAACCTGTCAGCTACAGCCAAGACAGATGATGAAAAAAGTACATTCTACACATTTGGGAGCTACCCTTGTGTATTTTTTAAAGATTATTTTGATTGAAAAACTTACTGTATCCACATGCCGCCAGTCATCAGCAATTTCATGCTTGTTATCTAGCAGAACATCTGGCATTGAAGATTCTGCATCACGTGAACTACCTGCTGTGAAGTAAGCAACAGTGATGTGGTCAGTGACACGTGGGCCAATATTCAGCCATTTTGACATTTTGAGTACAATGTACAGCTCATCAAGACAAGATCTTTGTAACATTACCTTGTGGCATTGTAATGTCTTCCATTCTTAATTGACTTGGTTTGTTTAGGCCACTGTTACTACCTGCAACAAAGAAAAATTCACACTCTTAGTACATGTACTGTCACAGAGGTTTCACAAGCCAGAACAGCTTGGCAATGACTGATTTCGTTGAAGCTATATTAAAAGCACCTGGTTGTCACAAAAACTACATGCAAGAGATGCTTTCTATAGTAGTAATATTGTGAAAGTCATCAGAAATAATATTAATAACTTTTACATTATTCATTTTTATTCATTTGAGTTGTGACCAAATGTTGTCACAAGTACACCTCTGTAAACCTCAATACAAATCAACTGAGTTGATAATTTATTATTCACCAGAATTAACTTTTGATACAGACTTCTGCTGTTTGTTTCATTTCACAAGTACAGTATGATAAAATATTCATGTCTCAGCAAGCCACCCCTCTCAACTACAACAACAAAAACCAAGCCACTTGAGCTTTAACTTACTTAAATGGGGTCTCTTGGGTATAGGTTTTCCTAGTTCAGCCATCATTTGCTGCAAAAGTAAAACACATAGACTCAAAATTACAAAAACAACACAATGAAGGCTGGGGAATTATCAAGAAAATAGTGTGAACCAGTGCACAAAGAAACATTCTCAGTGACTCTCAAATTCACACTTTGCTTCATGTGGAGGGGTGTGTGGCCTAGCGGTTAATACCTCGAACTCTGGACCTGGAGGTCGGGGTTCAAGCCACACCTCGCCCATCACGTTGTTGCCTTAGACAAGGAACTTCATTCCACTTTGTCTCTCTTCACCCAGGTGTATAAACTGCTACTGGGGACATACTGCTGGGGAGTAACCCTGTGATGGACTAGCATTCCGTCAAGGGGGGAGTAGCAATACTCCTAGGTATGCTTCACACTAAGGAAACCGAGATAAGCTTTGGCTGTATGGGCCTTTGGCTATTGTGCACCTTTACCCTTTACCTTCATACACAAGATAATTAAAACACTTTAAGTCCCAAGAGAGACTAAACTCAATTTTCTCTTAACCCTTTCACTGCCAAATGTAGCCAAAGGCAAATTTCGACCAAGTTTGCAAATTTCCTGTTGTAAAATAGCACTATGTAAAAGTACAGGCAGAGAGCTTTCATTTGAATGGTCACAACATAGGATTTCGTCCACACACTCAAATGTTAGAGCCATGTTACAAAACTCTTTCTCAAACTCATTAATAATTCATAAAGAAAATTCAAAGGAAATTTATGTTTAATGAGTGTTTGGATATCGGATGAAAAACTGCTCATTTTTGCATCCTTAATTTCTCCTTCAAAAATTATTTTGTTTGAGAAGAAATATCAAACATTCCACACAGTGTTTCATCACCAGATGAAACACCTCGAAGTTCGTCAAAAATACTCTGATACGCGTCGTATTTTCAACTCTCTTCTCGGTGTTTCATCTGGTGATGAAACACTGCGTCTCATGTTTGATATATTACATCAAACACTCTGGCAGTGAAAGGGTTAACAATAACAATACATAATCAAGAGGCAGAAATTTTGTGAGAAAATGCTTTGATCTATTATCAAAATGTCTTTCTCTAATGAAACTGTATTGAGAGTTCCTCACAATAGGTCTTTAAAAAATGGCTAGATTTTAACTGGGTTGCACTTCAAAATTAGGAAACAATCACTCACCATGGCTAGATCAGGGGGAGCTCCATTTTCTTTAGGTCTGAAAGGAAACAAACAAGAGCATTTTACAAACTGGATTTCTCAAAACATGCAGTGTGGACATAACAGGAAAATCATATGCATCCAACCATTATAAACACAGCTAACATCACACCTACTGGCAGCCTACCATGCATGAGCATTTTAGGAGCAGACTGACATTACTTATAGTCAAGAGTTTAGTGAGCACCTGGTACAAACAAAATAAAAATATAAATTGCACACCTCATTCCATCAGAAGCTTTTCGTTTTCCATTTTCGTTTATCTCCAAAGGATTCATTTCTTCAGGATCCAAGGGCGCGGAATCTCGTTCACTTAAAATATCTTCATGTTGTCGCAAGTACTGTGGAGGAGTCTGTTTTGCCATTTGGGCACACTGTAGCAGTTCTCTTTGTAAGAGTGGTAAGTTTGCCTAAAAAATACCATACAGCATTTAAAACTCGAGTTACTATTTTCCTCCATGTCAAGTGCACGTTGACAACAAATTTTCACGGCTATTTAAAGAATAGAAACCCCAGTTGACCATGGTTGCCAAATTACTTACTGGCTGCTGGCACATTTTGGCTGGCTGTTAATCTAGAGAAATAATTTACAGCAGGTGACAAGAGGAGCCCGCAATCCTAATCTCCAGGTTGCTATTACACATACTCCACACACATGTAGCCAGCTTTGTTTGGACTTCCACTACGAATGAATGAAATACATCGAAGGCAATCTCTGATCACGTGGTTCAGACTTTCTATCACTTGTTCATTTGATCACTCATGTTTTGATTATATCTATCAAGTGAAACTTATACAAAGCACAGTGTTTGAGCAAAAAAAGGTTGACCTTTGATCATTGCCGCCCACACTCCATAACCTTTATTTGGCTGATTTTGTGAGTGGGAAAAATGAGGTAAATCATGTTCTGATTGGCTACCAAAAGTAAGAACTGGCCTGCCAGACCATGGTGGACCAGCCAAAGAAATAAGCTTTTTCTAAGAGTTTTTGCTACTAGAAAGCCATTCCCTTTGTGCATACTATTTAGGTTTTGACTAATGTGGCTGGATAGTTTTGATTAAAAGTGAAATTCTCATTATGACGGCAATAGTTTGGCCCGTCAGTTCTGACAGATGGGAATTAAGCGCCATAAGTCTTACTCTATAAAAGTGAAAAAAAAAGAAATTTGCCAATATCTAACCACCTTGACCCAATGCTTGAATTGAAATCAGTTGTTAACAAAAGGGTGTACTGATTATCACAAGGCCCATATCTCAGATCGTCAGGTGGGATTTTGCTAGCAACGTCAACATTTAGAACTAAGGTCACACTAGATGATAGGTCCTTCCAGGTGGCTGCACACAAGTTATGGAAAGCTCTACCACATGAGCTTCGCGATATTCCAAACTTGCTCACTTTTAAGAGCAATCTTACGACGTACCTTTTTAAGTTTGCTTATGGTTGAAACAGAATGAATTTTAAGTGCTACATATCGATATTTTAGATTTTTATGGCAAAAGTGTATATATTCTTATTGTTTTGCTTATTGTAAATAGGTTTGTAGTTTTTATTTTTTTTATTTTTTTCGTGCTTTTATCACTTTTATGTAATGCGCATTTGATCATTTTTATGAATACCTGCGCAATATAAGTGATTAAATTATTATTATTATAGTTATTAAAAAACATACCTTCAGAAATGGTATTACAAACGGTCTAAGGGGAAAATTGGTTGCCTCTTGTAGCTGGGCATGGAATTCTTCAATAGATATTGTTGAGTTCTGTAAGTGATAATCACAGAAGGAACTAGTTAGTAAAACCTGGTAACATAAACTAAAGAGTCAAGATATTTAAAATGATCAGTAGTCAAGGATTCCAGATCAAAATAGTAGTACAAAAATAGTAGTATAAAATTAATGAACTTTGATTCACCATGAAATACATAGGAGCTCCTTAGAATAATTCTAAGGAGCAATATCTACAATAACAACAATATCTAAATGAATTATTCATTTAACGTTATACTGGAATTTCAAATGATATGCCCCATTCACACCAACAAAACACGATTAATTAATTAAACTAGGTTTTAAAAAATAACAACACAGTAACAGAAAACTACAACACAAGCTTTTACACTGAATTCAAATGAACTTTAACAAGTTAGGTAATTGCACTGAATTTGCAAGCGAAAAAAAGTATAGTAGGAAGCTTTTATAAAGAAAACAAATTTACACCATGTTTAACTAAACAGCTTTAAAAGATTGTTTAAGCTTTGATGCGAGTAACGCTTTAGTTTCTGAAGACAGGTGAAAACACAGTGGGCAAAGAAACACCGCTTAAAGCAGAGAACAGAACTAACAACACACTCAGTCCACACAATGGTATCATCTCTGGGATTTAACCACAGCCACACTAGTAAGTAGTAAGGCATACCTTACTCTGAGACCCTCCCTCTTCCCTCTCCCCAAACCTTTTGCTCCAACCTCTTTTTTATTAGACTGTAAGGTCTCTATTATTCCTTTGTCTGACAACTTTTTCACCACACTGCATAAAAATTTGCTATCAGAAAGTATCTTCCTAACCCAAGGTCATGCTCTGGAAGTGCCTGGTGACCTGTGGCACCTCACTTTTGGTTCCAGGCAACTAGAAAACCTTAGTTTTTTCATATAACTTATATGCTGGGCACCCTAAATTTCACAAGTTAAGAGCACTGGACTCCCTTGAATTCTTCTTAGAGTACAGCCTTGATTACCATTAAGTTAACTATCCACAAGTATTTTCCTGATCATACTAAAAAAATATAGTAGAAAATGTATGTCAACACTAAATCAGGATGTGTTCCACTGTTTCATACTCACCACAAGGTTCATTACAAGTCCTCTTACTCTTTCACCAATCTCTGGCGAAATATCTGAGCCAAACTGCTGTAGTGTTGTGAGAAACCTTTTTAACTTGCTCAGCTGCCGTGCACCACAGGCAGGGGGGAGCTGGGTCACACTGTTTCCTATACTACTTGGAGACACAGGTCCTGTGGAACTTGAGTGAACACCATTGACGGCTGGTGAAGTAGAATTGTTTGATAATGTCCTAACGTCAGCTACAACTGGCACAGAGGCAGGGTTTGCATTTGGAGATGATACTGGGGGTCCCTGTGGTGGGTGGGAGGCTGGATCTGTCGGTGAATCTGGCATGCTTGCCTCTCTTAAATCTACAGATTTTACAAAAAAGAAATTTATTTTTTCTTTGTTTGAACATCAGTAATGATACCCAGACTGGCACAACAGAAGCATGACATATGAACTGGGCCTTAAATGGTTGGCCCTTTAGATTTTGTCTCCTTATTAATAGGCCTTTTGCATCAGTTGATCATGTGATCAACTTTTGGTAAACACGGAAACAGTTCGCATTTGAAATATTTTCAGTGTTAGCACCAGCTGAAGGAGCATGTTACAATGAGGTAATCTGTAAATTTTTAGTCATATATCTCAAAAGTAGCGAATCCAACAGCTGCCAAAAAATAGAAGGATTTGTATAAGAAAAAAGACTTTCGTCACCCAGTCACGCTTGAAGGGCTTTCCATACAAATCCTTGTGAATTCCAAAATTACAGGGCTCAAATCTCCTTTTAATTCATAACAGGCACTTTGACCCCTTACACATGTAAAGGCATAAAGGAAAGATTTAACGACAGTTTAAAAATTTCAGAATTTACAAGGACTTGTATGGAAAACCACTCAAGTGTGACTGGGGGGCAAGAGTTGTTTTTCTCATACAAGTCCTTCTAATTTTCGGCAGCCGTTGTAATCACTACTTTTGAGATATACGGCTAAAAATTTACTGGTTACCTAATTTTAATATGCTCTTTCAGCTCATAATCACAAATTTTTCAAAAGTGAACTGTCTTCGCGTTTACCGGAAGTTGATCACGTGATCAACTAATGCAAAAGGCCTACTAAAACATGCCTTTATGAAATCAGTCACAGGAGCAAGCTTGCACAGGAGTACTCAATGTAGGGACCTTAGCAGATGAATTTAGGGGTTACTTTTTCAGTCTTATCAGTGAAGCTTCATGGTGACCCTAATAACGCACTGTTGTTTCTTTGCTCTGTTTTTATTTGCTATTTTTGCTAGTGTGGCTATCAGAGATTCAAATTCTGTATGTATAATAAATAAATTATAACTACTAACCAAATAAAATGTTGACACATTTTTTACTAAACTACATGTATGCACAGATGATCTATATTTTTCTTAAAAAGTAACAACACTGCATCATGTTTTTCTTTTATCATATTTCTTGGTATTGGTCCAGGTAAAATTGTGGAATTAAGATACATTATATACCTATCATTATTTCTTGATGTGGAAAAATTAATCATACTTAAGAACAGCCTTCACAAACTACGTGTATGTGATAATTTGTCAAGTTTGTAGATTTTGATCATGATACTTAATTTTGTTTACTCTCATGTAGATGAAATTTATTTTCCATAAACAAGTGATGTTTGTTCCAACATGTACATATTGTACATGTATGTGTATGATGTTATTCTAAAAGTAGCAGCTATTAATGCAAATGTCATAAAGAAGATAAATGAGAGATAAATATGTCCAATGAAATTACTATTAGTGATATAAACCACTCAATAAACATCTCAAAATTATAAAGTTCACATTAAGCAAATTGATGTCATCCAAATAAAGGGAATGTCCAAACTTTTAGCTTACAATTTCTAATTTTCTGCAAAGTGTCTAAAGAAAACAGCCCCATTAATAAGATGAAGCATGCTATGAGTTAATCAAACAATACATATTATGCAATATATTTGGATCAAAGGGCAGCTATGATATTGTTCAGGCATGAATGACAACAAAAAGATATAATTCAACCCTTCAACAACAGAATGCTGCCATACAGTCAATCACGGTAAAGTAATATATTGTTTAAAAAATAACCCCCGTCAGAGGGCTATTTGATTGCAGAGTATTTCCACTTGAAATTAATAAACTAACCAAAAAAAATTTCTCAATATTTTTGTTCCTTAACTATAACCACTAAAATAGAACATTACGACATCCCACACCGTACATATATATGCGCTTGGCTGAACTTTTTTATAAAAATTCAAAAGATATGAATATATTGGCACAGTAGTGAGGTTACAAGGTATTTTATACTTCCAGAAAAAAACTGATGTTGACAGAATGGACCACAGTACCGCGCCAAGTTGCAGCCACTACACGTTTCGGTGGCCTTTCGGCCACAATTCCAACAACTCTACGGGAAGAACAATGCATATCCCCATAAGCATCAACATTAATTAATTTCTGTTTAAGTAATGCCAGATTGGCCAGGCCTTTTAAAACTCTGCATGCAAGAAATGACACTGTCTTCACACATCTTCAGTTTACCCTTATTTCCGTGAAAAATAATAATAACAATAACTAACAGTAACAATAATAATAATAATAATATTTTAAACTGGATACCAGAAATTTTTGAGGAATTACCAGAAATTTTTTAAGATTGCAAGGTCACTGGCATTTTCTCCTCAATACCTGACAAAAATTTCACAGCTCTCTTATACCCACCCTGCCTGGGGTATAAATTAATTTCTTTTCAGGTTGATCCAGAAGGTAGATGGGTATATTGGAAATCACTGATCAATGTAGAACTAAGAAAACAATAAAAATGCCCAGAATGTTGCTCCTACCTCACTAGAGTCACTCTGGTGATTGGACATTGCTAGAGTATCCTCAGTGGCTTGTCTACGCGCTTCCAACACAGCTTTCTCCATCTTGCCATGTGCACTGGCCACAGCTTCATTGGCTTTCTCCTCGGCAGCACGGACGGCTTTCTGCAGCTCCACTACTGCCTGTCTTTTGACATCACTCACTGCTTCTTCTGCACGACGTTTTACTTCGGCTACACGCTCCTCTGTTTGTTGTAATGTCTTTGCCATCAATTCACCTACATGAGGAGAAAATAAACAAAGGACAAGTTAGAATTATCTCTCCACTTTGATTAAATTAAAGGGAAGAGATATCGTCACCAAACTGTGTGACGTAATGTAAAGAGACCTTAAGGTTCTAAAGCAAGGATGATTACCAGAACAAATTTTCTACATACTAAGTGGTGCATGCATGAACCAGCGTCATTTTTGCCGAAAAATGCAATAGCCTTAGTCAATCTACTACAAGTTTTAGCGAAAATGTCAAAGTGATGGAAACAAGTTAGCACATGTTACAAGTTTTATCATTCTGCGATCATGAGAGGGCTTAACCTTTTTTAACCTCCTTAAAAATAATGTGTTAAATTTGCTTGTGAAAAAGGTAAAATGAAGTTTTTTGGGGTATCATAGTCCTCTTCGTTCTCAAATCTAAAGGTCTCTTTTATATTATTGTCACTGATGAGAGGACAACAGTTTGTGTCCTCTTAACATGATAAATTAAAAGTAACCAAAAGCAGAGCTATTTACTACTATTTATACATAGATCAGCAACAAACCTGCTCTTCTTTTCACTTCTGCTTCTGTTTCCTCGGCTGTTTTTCGTGCCCAGGCCTTCTCGAGAAGAGCCAGGACTAATGTTGCACAAACTTCTTGACTATGTCGGGCAAACCAGAACAGTTGGTATGGTTATTATGTAACTTCGTAGACTTTACTGTACAGAAAATTAATAGAAGTCATCAAATGTAGAGCCTCTGAGGAACCTTCCAAGAGTAATGGCTGTTTGGCAACTTCAAAAATTGGAGTATAAGTTTAAAAGTAGAAAACAGAGTAACAGATGGATGTTAATGCATTTAAATCCTACTACAGAACTATTAATTATAAAGAACAGGTGTCACTATTTTTTACGATTAATAACTACAAAGTACCACTCTTTACGATTTGTAAGTACAACAGCCGCCTTTTGTAGTTATTAACATGGTAAATGTCACTTCAAAAAAATAAAAACAGCGCAAAAAATAGAGACACATGTTAAAGGTGCATGCAGGAGATGTTCATGCATCTGTACTGGAAACTGATGAAAAGAAAAACCTGTCAGCTACAGCCAAGACAGATGATGAAAAAAGTGCACTCTACACATTTGAGAGCTACACTGTACCCTTGTGTATTTTTAAAGATTATTTTGATTGCAAAACTTACTGTGTCCACATGCCGCCAGTCATCAGCGATTTCATGCTTGTTATCTAGCAGAACATCTGGCATTGAAGGTTCTGCATCACGTGAACTACCTGCTGTGAAGTAAGCAACAGTGATGTGGTCAGTGACACGTGGGCCAATATTTAGCCATTTTGACTCATGCTTAGTGAGATAATTTTTGGGTTAAAGCCACTGGCTCGAGTACAATGTACAGCTCATCAACACAAGATCTTTGTAACATTACCTTGTGGCATTGTAATGTCTTCCATTCTTAATTGACTTGGTTTGTTTAGGCCACTGTTACTACCTGCAACAAAAGAATAATTCACACGCTTAGTACATGTACTGTCACAGAGGTTTCACAAGCCAGAACAGCTTGGCAATAACTGATTTCTAAAGAACTAAAATCAAATTTCGTTGAAGTTATATTAAAAGCATCTGGTTGTCAAAAAAACTACATGCAAGAGATGCTTTTTATTGTAGTAACATTGTGAAAGTCATCAATAATAATATTAACGACTTTTACATTATTCATTTTTATTCACTTGAGTTGTGACCAAACTTTGTCTCAAGTACACCTCTGTGACCTCAATACAAATCAACTGAGTTGATAATTTATTATTCACTGGAATTAACTTTTGATACAGACTTCTGCTGTTTGTTTCATTTCACAAGTACAGTATAATAAAATATCCATGTCTAATCTGTAAGAACTTTATAGTGGTGACCCTTCAGCAAGCCACCCCTCTCAACAACAACAACAAAAACCAAGCCACTTGAGCTTTAACTTACTTAAATGGGGTCTCTTGGGTATAGGTTTTCCTAGTTCGGCCATCATTTGCTGCAAAAGTAAAACACATAGACTCAAAATTACAAAAACAACACAATGAAGGCTGGGGAATTATCAAGAAAATATAGCATGAACCAGTGCACAAAGAAACATTCTAAGTGACTCTTAAATTCACACTTTGCTTCAAGTGGAGGCGTGTGTGGCCTAGCAGTTAATACCTGGATCTGGAGGTCCGGGGTTCAAGCCGCACCTCGCCCGTCATGTTGTTTTTCTTAGACAAGGAACTTTACTCCACTTTGTCTCTCTTCACCCAAGTGTATAAATGGGTACTGGGGACATACTGCTGGGAGTAACCCTGAAATGGACTATCATCCCATCCAGGGGGGAGTAACAATACTCCTAGGCATGCTTCACACTAAGAAAACCAAGATAGGCTTTGGCAGTTTGGGCCTTTGGCTCGTATGCGCCTTTACCCTTTACCATCATACACAAGATAATTAAAACACTTTAAGTCCTAAGAGAGACCAAAATCAATTTTCTCATAACAATAACAATACATAATCAAGAAGAAGAAAGGTTATGAGAAAATGCTTTGATCTATTATCAAAATTTCTTGACTGATTCTTTAAGGAAACTATATTGAGAGTTTGTCACAATAGGTCTTTAAAAAATGGATAGACTTTTATTGGGTTGCACTTCAAAATTAGGAAACAATCACTCACCATGGCTAGATCAGGGGGAGCTCCATTTTCTTTAGGTCTGAAAGGAAACAAACAAGAGCATTCTACAAACTGGATTTCTCAAAACATGCAGTGTGGACACAACAGCAAACTCATATGCATCAACCATAATAAACATGCCTGGCATCATACCTACTGGTAGCCAGCCATACATGAGCATTTTAGGAGCAGACTGACATTACTTATAGTCAAAAGTTTAGTGAGCACCTGGTACAAACAAAATAAAAATATAAAAGACTCATAAAATAAAATTGCACACCTCATTCCATCAGAAGCTTTTCGTTTTCCATTTTCGTTTATCTCCAAAGGATTCATTTCTTCTGGATCCAAGGGCGCGGAATCTCGTTCACTTAAAATATCTTCATGTTGTCGTAGGTATTGCGGAGGAGTCTGTTTTGCCATTTGTGCACACTGTAGCAGTTCTCTTTGTAAGAGTGGTAAGTTTGCCTAAAAAGTACCAAGCAACATTTAAAACTCAAGTTACCACTTTCCTACATGTCAACTGCAAGTTAACAACAAATTTTCGCAGCTCTCTAAAGAATAGACACCCCAGTTGACCATAGTTGCCAAATTACTGGCTGCTGGCACAATTTGGCAGGCTGCTAATCTAGAGCAATAATTTATTGCAGGCAACAAGGGGAGCCCACAATCTATTACACCTACTCCACACGTACATAACCAGCTTCATTTGGACTTCCACTAAGAATGAATGAAATGCATCAAAGGGAATCTGTGATCACGTGGTTAAGACTTTCTGTCACTTGTCATTTAATCACTCATGTTTTGATTATATATATCAAGTGAAACTTATGCCAAGGACAGCGTATGAGCAAAAGTGTTTTGACCTTTGATCATTGTCGCCCCCAAATCCATGACCTTTATTTGGCTGATTTTCTGAGTGGGAAAGATGAGGTAAACCACATTCTGATTGGCTACCTGAGCAGAATAGCTGAAGCCATCTTGCCTGCTCGGATTTCCCACTTTCTTCCCACAAGAACACGTTTCCTTCAGGCAACATAATAAATCCTTTTTTTTTAATTTTTATGGACCTGCACTGAATATTAAAACACTTACCTTCAGAAATGGTATTACAAACGGTCTAAGGGGAAAATTGGTTGCCTCTTGAAGCTGGGCATGGAATTCTTCAATAGATATCGTTGAGTTCTGTAAGTGATAATTGCAGAAGGAACTAGTTAGTTAAACCTGGTCACATAAACTAAAGAGTCAACATAATGAAATGATCAGTAGTCAAGGATTACAGATCAAAATAGTAGTATAAATGAACTTTGATTCACCATGAAATACATAGGAGCTCTTTAATATTAATTTAACGTTATACACCATGCACTTGTCACCAAACTGGAATTTCAAATGATATGCCCCATTCACACCAACAAAACATGATTAATTAATTAAACTAGGTTTTTTAAAAAAATAACAAAACAGTAACAGAAAACGACAACACAGGCTTTTACACTGAATTGAAACAAACTTTAATAAGTTAGGTGATTGTACTGAATTTGCAAGCAAAAAAAAGTATAGTAGGTAGCTTTTATAACAAAAACAAATTTACACCATGTTTAACTAAACAGCTTTAGAAGATTGTTTAAGCTTTGATGTGAGTAAGGCTTTAGTTTCTGAAGAGAGGTGAAGACAGAGTAGGCAAAGAAACACCCCTTGGAGCAGAGAACAGAACTAACAACACACTCAGTCCACACAATGGTATCATCTCTGGGATTTAACCTCAGCCACACTGGTAAGTAGTAAGGCATACCTTACTCTGAGACCCTCCCTCTTCCCTCTCCCAAAACCTTTTGCTCCAACCTCTTTTTTATTAGACTGTAAGGTCTCTATTATTCCTGTGTCTGACAACTTTTTCACCGCACTGCATAAAAATTTGCTATCAGAAAGTATCTTCCTAACCCAAGGTCATGCTCTGGAAGTGCCTGGTGGCCTGTGGCACCTCACTTTTGGTTCCAGGCGACTAGAAAACCTTAGTTTTTTCATAGAGCTTATATGCTGGGCACCCTGGATTTCACAAGTTAAGAGCACTGGACTCCCTTGAATTCTTCTTAGAGTACAGCCTTAATTACCATTAAGTTAACTATCCACAAGTATTTTCCTGATCATACTAAAAAAATATAGTAGAAAATGTATGTCAACACTAAATCAGGATGTGTTCCACTGTTTCATACTCACCACAAGGTTCATTACAAGTCCTCTTACTCTTTCACCAATCTCTGGCGAAATATCTGAGCCAAACTGCTGTAGTGTTGTGAGAAACCTTTTTAACTTGCTCAGCTGCCGTGCACCACAGGCAGGGGGGAGCTGGGTCACACTGTTTCCTATACTACTTGGAGACACAGGTCCTGTGGAACTTGAGTGAACACCATTGACGGCTGGTGAAGTAGAATTGTTTGATAATGTCCTAACGTCAGCTACAACTGGCACAGAGGCAGGGTTTGCATTTGGAGATGATACTGGGGGCCCCTGTGGTGGGTGGGAGGCTGGATCTGTCGGTGAATCTGGCATGCTTGCCTCTCTTAAATCTACAGATTTTACAAAAAAGAAATTTATTTTTTCTTTGTTTGAACATCAGTAATGATACCCAGACTGGCACAACAGAAGCATGACATATGAACTGGGCCTTAAATGGCTGGCCCTTTAGATTTTGTCTCCTTATTAATAGGCCTTTTGCATCAGTTGATCAGGTGATCAACTTTTGGTAAACACGGAAACAGTTCGCTTTTGAAATATTTTCAGTGTTAGCACCAGCTGAAGGAGCATGTTACAGTTAGGTAATCTGTGAATTTTCGGTCATATATCTCAAAAGTAGTGAATCCAACGGCTGCCAAAAAATAGAAGGATTTGTATAAGAAAAAAGACTTTCGTCACCCAGTCACGCTTGAAGGGCTTTCCATACAAATCCTTTTGAATTCCAAAATTACAGGGCTCAAATCTCCTTTTAATTCATAACAGGCACTTTGAGCCCTTACACATGTAAATGCATAAAGGAAAGATTTAATGACAGTTTAAAAATTTCAGAATTTCCAAGGACTTGTATGGAAAACCACTCAAGTGTGACTGTGAGGCAAGAGTTGTTTTTCTCATACAAGTCCGTAATCACTACTTTTGAGATATACGGCTGAAAATTTACTGGTTACCTAATTTTAATATGCTCTTTCAGCTCATACTCAAAAATTTTTCAAAAAGTGAACTGTCTTCGCGTTTACCGGAAGTTGATCACGTGATCAACTAATGCAAAAGGCCTATTAAAACACACCTTTATGAAATCAGTTACAGGAGCAAGCTTGCACAGAAGCACTCAATGTAAAAAAGCATTTGCGTTCTTTTTCTTGAAATTATCTCTATAATGTAGGGACCTTAGCAGATGAATTTAGAAGTTACTTTTTCAGTCTTGTCAGTGAAGCTTCATGGTGACCCTAATAATGCTCTGTTGTTTCTTTGCTCTGTTTTTATTTGCTATTTTTGCTAGTGTGGCTATCAGAGATTCAAATTCTGTATGTATAATAAATAAATTATAACTACTAACCTAATAAAATGTTGACACATTTTTTACTAAACTACATGTATGCACAGATGATCTATATTTTTCTTAAAAAGTAACAACACTGCATCATGTTTTTCTTTTATCGTATTTCTTGGTATTGGTCCAGGTAAAATTGTGGGATTAAGATACTTTATATACCTATCATTATTTCTTGATGTGGAAAAATTAATCATACTTAAGAACAGCCTTCACAAACTACGTGTATGTGATAATTTGTCAAGTTTGTACATTTTGATCATGATACTTAATTTTGTTTACTCTCATGTAGATGAAATTTATTTTCCATAAACAAGTGATGTTTGTTCCAACATGTACATATTGTACATGTATGATGTTATTCTAAAAGAAGCAGCTATTAATGCAAATGTCATAAAGAAGATAAATGAGAGATAAATATGTCCAATGAAATTACTATTAGTGATATAAACCACTCAATAAACATCTCCAAATTTTAAAGTTCACATTAAGCAAATTGATGTCATCCAAATAAAGGGAATGTCCAAACTTTTAGCTTACAATTTCTAATATACTGTAAAGTGTCTAAAGAAAACAGCCCCATTAATAAGATGAAGCATGCTATGAGTTAATCAAACAATACATATTATGCAATATATTTGGATCAAAGGGCAGCTATGATATTGTTCAGGCATGAAT